GATGACTTTAGAAACTTTTAAAAGATTTTAAAATATTCTATAGAAAATTTTAAAATAAGTAAATAATTTTTTTTTAATATTTTAAAAGATGCTTGAAGGTAAGATTTGTTGTATATCCATTATAATAAGAAAAGATGTTCAATTTCTTCTTAAATATATGTGTACTAAAAAAATATAAAAATAAATTGGTTTCATTTATATATATACATATATAGCTAAATAGTTTTTTTAAAAAATAATTTAATTTTTGTTTATTAGCTACAAAGATTTAAAAAACTTTCATCTTTTTCAAAAAGATTTGAAACTTTACCAATTTAAATAAGAATTAAATGAAAAGAACATTTTAAAGGCTTGTTTTATTCAACTTTTAAAAGGAACTTCTAGAAAGTTTTTTTCGAAAATTACAATCTTTTTTAAAAACATATTAAAAGATACAATTTGTTTTACAAGAAAGTCCTACAAGGTTGAGTGTAATGTACATGTACCAAAAATTGAACAAATCCAATATCAAAGGTTCCTTTCTTGCTTTTTTTCTTTAAGTATTTTCATATATATATATATATACACACTATAATGAGTTACACAACCAATACATATTTTAAAGCATTTCATAAACATACAAACCAAACTAGCTTTGATGGAAAACAATACTGGGTGCTGACAAATTTAGGTTCAGCTTACAATCCAACACACAACCATATGGTTTTAGATGCCTGCAGGCAGTAGAAGAAGACTTCAATAAACTAAGCAAGTTTCAAATAACACACAACTACACACCATCTGCTCAAAGAACAAAGAAAGTGAAAATGTAAGATCTCTATTCACACTAGCACACAAAAGTCCTTGGACACCGAAATAAAAACAGAAACAAAAAACAAAAACAAAACACAACAGCAACAACAACAAAAAAAAAAAAAAAAAACAAAAACAAAAAAACAACAACAACAACAACAACAACACAAAAAGTGCAGTATCATTGCCTAAAACACAGTGTGGCAGTTCTTTGAAGGCATGAACTCATGTACTGGATTCAACAGCAAAAGGGACTTTACGCTTCAGTTTCGTGAATACAAAAACATATAACCGGCGTCGCTACAATTGGAACCATTCAGACTACACGGATGCTCATGTGCCGAGTCTGAGACTGCTTTTGTGCGGCGCCTTTTATGGACGGTGGATGGGTGGATGAGGAGGAGGAGTTCTGGACCGGGTTCCAACGTCGACAATTCAGAACCTAAATATATCCCAAAAGACGACCGCTTTGCCATCCACGACGTGCCGAAGTGTGTCCAAAGCTTGATCCAGGACAATTATGCATTTGAAATCGGCACTGCAGCATGTGCTAGAAATCCGCGGTTGAAAGGAGGGCAGATGTGAGGTGGAATGGATAATGAACCTGGTGTCATATCAGGAATTGTGTCCCACTATTTCTCGGCATCGCTCGCATTACAATGCACATCCTTAGCCATGTTGTGGGGTCCCCCCTTTTTTAGCGTGGTCATTGCTGCTAGGGTGCGCGCGGAACAAGGGCAGCTTGGCTGGGCTCGGACCTGACACGGATCTGACACTTGGAGGGATAGAAACCGGCACTGGTTCACTGGTTCCACTGGTTGTGTGATGTCAGAGTTGGTGAGACCGGCAACTCGAAGCGACTTGTGTTTAACTTAGTGGGGGCGTGGCTTGTGGTGCAAGCTCCTCGTCGCTTTGGTGTAGGTGGGGGAGTTGGGAAAATCTTAGTGTGTGTTGTCTCTTGTTGGATACTTTCATCAAAGTGAATTAAGCATGTCACCGATCTGCTTGACTCTGACAATGTTCTTTTTTCTTTTTTCTTTTTTGTTTGTTTCTTGCTCTTGCGCTGTCAGGGTAAGTGTGAGTTTTCGTGAGGTTCTCAACTTGAAAACAACATACTTTGTTACGATGTTGCTTGGAAGCACAGATTAGGGTTAGCTGGGCATCGATATTCACACCTGTGAGCGGTTCACTGCTGTCTGGGGAGAAGCAGACATCTGGTGATTCAATCTGATCAGTTCTCACAATCGCTCAGGGGAAGGAAGGAGTAAGATAATTAAAGAACTATGCCATCCCTGAATTCCACGGAATTCGATGACGATAAACTTTCATTCTAACACACTAGGCACACATTCGATCCTCCCACATTAATTTGTACATCAAGCAAAGGACTGTGCCTTGTGTTGCTTGCAAGGAATGTAGGGCAGCTCTGCATTGTTTCTAGGCCTGGCTTGTGAATTTCAATCACGTGAAAAGAGTAAAAATAAACCACAGACAAAGTGGGTTTGGTATTCGGTTTATTTCGTGACTTTGTGAGGGACTTGCAACCCTAACATGAGGCTGTTAGAGATGAGTCGACAACAAGGAATTAAAACAGGATGGTAATTGTTGTGCATTTGTTGTTTTCGTGACGGATCATTCCAGATTTGTCATTTGCAAAAAGCGATGCTGATGTGCAATCAAGAAGTATCTTTGGATGGTCGAGAAGGTCAACCTCTCATTAAGTCATTCTCGTTCCAAGCTTTCACTTCAACAATAACGTTGCATAATAATAGTAATGCTATTTAAAGTCATCGATTCATTTTTTATTCGAGAAATTCATTTTCGGGATTCTTTTAAAAATTTATGTTATCTTTTATACGCCAAATTCTGCAAGTTCTGCCATCTCCTTAGAACTTTTAGGCTGGTGCATCCCAGACGTAGCCACTATTTTTTTTCATTCAAATATTTCTGAACAAGAATTTTGATATTTCAAATTTTAATACAGAATAGGGAACATTTTATTTCTCTATGGTTTTATTTGTTCTAGGATTCCATATTGAGCCCTGTACTTATTTCAATTAAACAAAAATAAATAGAAATTTGCTTGTTGTGATATTAGAAGTTTCTAGGTAAAAGAAATCATTTGAACTTACCATAACTGTCTCATACATCTTAACTACAAACAAATAAGCTCTACAAATTAATTTTTTTTGCTAACTTTTCCAGGATTTATTGAATGTGCGGTGATTACAATGTGTAGAGGCATGAAAATGAGGGTGGTATAAGACTTTCCAGTACACCTCTGGATCCTTAACTTATTTGGATTAATGAAATATTTTATCAGCCTGGCATGAAAGTTCCACTTGACATCAAGTTGTTTGCATCACCAAGTATGAGAGGCTTTGAATCCCCATTTAGTGAAGCCATGGCAACATCAAGAGGTATCGTGAACTCGACACAGATAAGAAGTGAAAGACGGCTACCCACGTCACCAAATTTAGGCGGAAGCCCCAGTGTGCAATGAACTACTCCGTGTGAATCACACAAGAGGACCTGCGCCATCGCAGCGTGAAGGTAGCTAAAAATCCCAGTGGTAGCTAGATTCAATTGTGATGGAGCACGGAGTGATTTCCCAAATTAGATTCCACACATCGGGGAATGCAGGTGACTACTGAATCTTCCATCGACGTTTCTGCTATGGTACCTCGCTCTGGGTTACTGATTTGAGAAAGTCTACCGTAAGGAGTGCTATTTGAAAAGAAGCTGAACTTATGGTATCCTGCTAGATGCGGAACTACATCGGTATTATTCTTGACATGTCTGAGTATGTTCAATCAATTCGGTGGTATGGAAGAATTTTGTGGATGGTCCTGTCAATGTGTTACCATGTAACAAACTTCTTCGATATCGTTGATTCGATTGTGTAGGAATTTATCACCTGAGCTGAAGTTTAAAGTGCCATTTCGAGACTTGTCTAAAAGCAGCGTGATTTTCCAGCCTTTTGACAAGTTATAAGTTCAATAAGTATCAAAATAAAAACACTATAAATAGAAAGAAGAAATTGAGTGAAAGCAACATGATCCACTAGATCATGGTAGATAAAGTATTTAATCGAGCTGAAAGGCCAAATTGCCACACCTGCAACGTAACGATGTTTCTCAAACTGTGGGTGGAGTAAAGTCGTGGCCAGTCTCGGAGGACGGAGCAGCGTCAAGCCATTTTTGAACAGCAGCAGCTCGTGAGAATACACTGCGTCCTTTGTTCAGCTTTAAAAGGTCGGCAGCATCTGGTACTACGGCGTTTTAAAATTCCAGGGATGCTTTGACTTGGCTCGGAACTCTTGATTTATATGTCGCGGAGGAGAGAGAATAAACGTGGAGGCAGATCAGAAGTGAATAGGTGTTACGTGTCCCTCACTGCAAAGTTTTTTTTCACCAAAGCCTGCTTCAAGCGCGACAGCTTTCCGATGCGAATCGTCCATGAGCACGAATTCTTTCAGCATGGTACCCACAATGGCCGTGCATAAAAAGCGCCATGGAATCACACAAGGATCGCATCTCTCAAAGTGTCGAATTATCCAATCCATCCTTCATCACATTCCAGTAACTCACGACATATTTCACACCTGTCTGAGTTTGTCGTGGAGACAGGTCTGTTAAAAGTTCCACCAGCTGGGACCTCGGCCTACCGGTAAAACAGTGATTTGTAGGGCCAACTTCGATCTAGAACATGGCGCTCGAAACGGCTTTCAAATGTGTGATAAGATTATTGTAGCCCTTATTGCGGTTCTATTATCTAAGAGAGTCTTTGCGGTGTTGTGGTTGCCACGAGTACACGGGTGCAGCTGGTTAGGTAGCGTGCCCGGACTCCGTTCGACGCTGGTCGTCGTTACGGACCGGGTCAAAGCAGAACCCTCCTTGTTCTTGCTGCTGTTCGCAGACACAATGATACATTGTACCGATCGTGAATACATTGGAAATGCGAAGACGAAGTCGTAGTGTAGAACCTGACAGTTAGGATGGAAATTACATGAACCTGGTGAAATAAGTAAAGAAAGATTACATAGATGTTGCTGCCAGCTACACTCTTCTCACTTTCTGGAGATAGCTTTCAATCAAACTCAAAAGGTTTTGTCAGATAGCAAAGAAGGATTTAACCTTTGCCATATTAGGTGCAAAGAGTGGGGCCTAGTGGAGTACAAGCGTCGTTTTATTCGGGGTGCCGATTGCGAGTTCGACGAGCCCGGTGGCGACGTAGGTGGCAACCCGTATTGACATCTGAGTTTTGCTCATGAAAAAAACAGCCAGATGCTTCGTTGCAGCTGCGAGATGGCGATTGTTTAGTGTTAGATACATACCAGCTTATTAGCTGCGGTCAGCATTACCAGGTCACCGAATTATCTGTTGGGTCTTCAACAGAAGCCACCAGAGAGCTGAATGGTTGCAGTGCTCTTGTGCCTTTCTAAAGGATTTTGGAAGTAGATGAATTTTGGTGTAGCTTGTTGTTGGAGTAGGATTTGAGGCTAGCTAGTGGTGACGGTGAGGTGCGCAAGAGATTGTAACAAGATGCTGTGAAGAGTACTGATTGCATCCTCGACTAGTGGGCTCAAAGGCAGAGTTGAGCAGCTGGTTGGAGCTGGCATTTCCAAAAAAACCTTGGTGCCTGACCCATTTTTGGAGGTTTTACGGTAAGCGAGTGTGGGGTTGGAGGTTCATTTGCAGAATAAGTTGTGAATTCGTTGCAACCGTACAAGAATTAGCAGGCGTCAAGTTTTGTGGCGAGTTCATTGCAGCGGTGATGACCAAGATGAAGTTTGCTGGCGGTCATGGAGATTGCGATATTCGGCGTCTTCTGTATTGGAGTTTATTGGCGTGGTGTTTGGCTGTAACGAATGCAGAGGTGTATATCGTCGTTTTCAAAGAGTGAGCATTTCTACATCTCTTTCGATCTCAGGATTTCTAAGATGTGACGGTTGCGCTTTCTGTCGCGAGGGACTTCGGTAGCAGTATTGGTGGACTGCTTGCGTCCTATAACGTGCAGAAGCAGCGGTTGGATCAGCGTAGATACAACAACCCTTGAGCTTCCTTTAGACTTTGCCTTCCCTGTCAAAGCAATCACCGCAATACGATAATTCTGGTTAGAGTTCGTTAGTCACGAATGAGTAACTTGAGTTAGCAACTTTCAAGCCACATTCAAGGGTCTTTGGTTTGCCACATGAGCGATTCTAGCTGTGGCAGAGCTTTCATGAGTCGATTGTTTCAAAGCCTGGTTTAATGTGGAGTGACAGATTCGACTGTTGAGGCATCCGTTCTGTTGCCCAATTTAAACCCCAAGAACATTGAAAGTATAATCAAACGTAGACCTCGATGGTTTAGGTAACACGAATTCAGCTCAGTTAGAAGTACAGCAGCCCAAATCCGGCCGTAGGAACGACCATCACTTGTTATCTATTCAGCCACTTGCCTCAGAAATCCTCATCACCAGGGTGTTGATTCATAGCTTAACGTTCGCTTGTTATTTGGATCGCAGAGCTGCGCAACAGCAACTAATGACAGCGTCGGGAGCATCTGGATATAGCATGAGTGTGCAACATGATTTAATGTTAAATAACGCTCTTGGAGTAGCCAACAGCGCATTTAAGAAGTTACATGATTACACCTTATTCAGCGGAGTAGCTGTCGACTTGACTGAAGCGCAGGTTTGGCTCTCCACGTAATAGTTAAATCGACGAAGAAGTTTATTGAAATGCTTTGTTTCACTGAGACGGAACACAATTGTATGAAATGATCTCGCCTGCTTTCTCTTCTCTTGAACTGATTTTTCAACTCGAGGAAATCCTTCATGGGATTGGCAGAAAGTTGCCGATGACGATGCTTGTTGGTCGGTGGATGTGAAGGCTACGCTGTTGGAAAGTAGTGACGTGGTTCATCACGTCGAGAAGGACAAATTGATGTACATAAGCACAACACACACGCCCGAATACATGGGGCTTCCTGCAGGAGCATGGGCTCAGACAGGCGGTGTGGGCAATGCCGGTGAAGGAATTGTAATCGGCGTTGTGGACACCGGAATCTACCCCGACCATCCGAGTTTTGCAAACGACTCTGTGAATCTGTATGCTCCGCACCCGACCTTCAAAGGGACGTGTGGAACCGATGCTCGTGTTCCTGCTGGATTTTGCAATGGGAAGATTATAGGCGCCAGACAGTTCTTCGAGGCGGCGATGGTTGGAGCTAATGCCTCAGATCTGGACATGCTCAGCCCCTTGGATGGCCACGGTCATGGCACGTGAGTACTCGATCTCTCGGTGAGCGAGGTTTTGCGTGAATGAGTGAACAAGAGAGATGAGTTTGTGCTCGGCTAAGAATAGGCTCTAACTGAGTCAATCCACGACACTCTTTTGTAGGCATTGTGCGGGCACTGCGGCTGGAAATTATGGAGTGCCAGTGATTGTTCACGGCCAGGACTTCGGCAACGCAAGCGGTATTGCCCCCAGAGCACGGATTGCAGTTTACAAGGCTTTGAACAAGAAGGGTCAAGGGAGAACCGCAGACATTATCGCTGCAATTAATCAGGTGCAATTTTTCCCCGTCTTTTCACACAAGCTTTTCAGGGAATCTGACACTAAGTTTTCGCAATTTCAATGTGATGCTGGCATTGTCACAACTTTCGGAGTGTAGGCCGTAATGACGGCATCGGTGAAAGGTCTGGAGGTTTAGATCTCTAGTGACAGAGTGTAAAAATTCCACTTTGACAGTCCCTTCTTCTGGGTAGGTTATCGAACTTTCTCCTGTACCGTGATGGTGTCCGAGAATGACATGTTGGCACTTGTACAATGTTTAGAGTTTGGACATTAGTTGGAGGTCCGTGGAACTTTTGATTCTTATACTGCGTTGTGCTTCTGTCGTGCAGGCTGTAGAGGATGGAGTTCATGTGCTCAGTTTATCACTCGGTCCGTCTTCAGCGCCGGTAGGCAGTGTCACTTTCATCGACAGCTTCGCACTGGCTTGTTTGGGAGCTACGAGAGCTGGAGTGCATTGCGTGCACGCTGCTGGAAACACTGGGTCGGGACCTTCCACGATCACATCATGGAGCCCTTGGCTTACATCCGTAGGTGCTACCACAACTGATCGCATCTACCCGAGCTATTTGTTTACTGGAGATGGCAGAAATTACTCCGGCCAGGGTCTTTCCCGTAAGTGTTTTGCCCACCCTCAGAATTTGCAATGTTTTAAAACTTGGGTTTGGGGATTTCACTCTTGTCCAGTCGATGATGAGAACATGTTGTGCAACTGTGTCAGCACAAACGCCGGGATTAGATTTTTATCCTTTGATTCGTGCAAGTGATGCTGTTGCGACGGTCAGTCGCTTGAACCGCAACTTCGATTGCGCCGAACCAGGAGCCCTCAACAGGGCGCTTATCGAGGGCAAGATCCTGGTATGCTCATGGAATGCCATTCCAGGATTCACTGGCTCGATGTCGAATTATTCTCGTTATGCGGCGCAAACTACGGGAGCTGCGGGAGTAGTACTATTAATCGGTGTTGAATATTTGGAGACAAACAGCCCTTCGTCTTTGAATTTTGACGGCTTCCCGGCGATTGCCGTCACAGGACCAGAGTCGTATCAGGTAATAATGTCTTCTACCATCTTAAGCTCGGACCGACTTTTATCATTTTTTGCCAGCCTTGTTTATTTCACTTGATTTCGTCTAGGAATCTGGTATGGTTGCTCAAGTTTTTGGTGCCTTCATTTGCAGCAATTTCTGTCTTACTACGACGCTGCAAAACAAAATGGTGCAGCAGGAGGTGCAACAGGACGGTTGAGCGGCGGCAACAAGGCTGTGTACACGGGACAGCCCCCTAAAATTGCTTCGTTCTCATCTCGTGGTCCTAATGTTTATCTTGGTTTGGAGGAAGTATCATCTACTGATCAGCCCATCGCTGATGTACTGAAGCCCAACATTGTTACCCATGGCGTGGACATTTGGGCGGCTTGGACTCCCCTTCCCACCACCGACAAGCTGCTTTTCCGAGGTAAAGCCTCGGCGTTTGTTTTCGTGATGCTTTTACCGACTCTTTTCTAAGCTTGTGCTCATGTTTCGATTTGGGATTGAATCGAGAGCTCTTTCATGCAGGTCAGAAATGGTCTATGATTAGTGGAACGAGTATGGCAGCCCCACACATAGCTGGAGTATCGGCTATTATCAAACAAATGCACCCGACATGGAGTCCTTCAGCCATCGCTTCTGCGATCAGTACCTCAGCGGTTCCCAAGGATACTCTCGGCAATCCTTTAGTTGTATATGACTATGTGTATAGTTCATCTGGACAGATCGCTGACCTAATCAAGCGGCCCGGAAACGCATTTGACTTCGGGAATGGATTTGTGGATGCGACAACTGCTCTAAACCCGGGCTTGATCTTCGATGCGAGTAAGAGTTTATGAAGTACAGTCAAGTTCATAGCACTTTACAATACGGTTCAGCGGAAACATGTTTTTTTCTTTATTTGTTTTTTTTGCGATTACTTAATGATTCCTCGGTTATGGTTGCAGCGTATGATGACTACATCAAATTTCTCTGCGCCGAAAGATTACTCAGCTCAGCGTCGGTGTTCGCAATCACGTCTGCAACGTGTCCGCCAGTGCCAGGTTTGTCGTCTGACCTCAACTTGCCAAGCATAACTATTGGCAATCTAACTAGATCTCGCCTTGTGCCGCGAGTGGTCACGAATGTGGGTCCTCTCGAGACTTACACGGCAGTAATCACCCAACCACCCGATGTGGAAGTGGTTGTCAATCCTCTAACCTTCATTATTGCTCCTGGCGCGACACAACCGCTCAACATTACTCTCACGGCTGTTGGCAACGCCATTTATGTGAATCAATCGAGTTTTGGAAGCATTTACCTTACTGGAAACTTAGGCCACAGGGTACAAGTTCCGGTGACTGTAACCTACAGACAGGTGTAAATCTAGAGAGTTTACCATTCTTTCAGGATTTAGGATTGGTCAGCGTCTGCTGCTCCATCGGTGCTCGAAGAAGAAGAAGAAGAAAAAATAACAACAGCCTGCTTCTGCTCGGATTCATTCGAATGTTGGATGGGCGAAAATATGCTTCTAGCTGGCTATTCTGCGATTTTGATGAGTAGAGATGCAGTCCCATTATGTAATGTTTAGATTAACACGAACAACATTTGTCCATTGATGGCTGCAAAAGCCACTTTGCCGAGGATCTAGAATCGGCCCCGGGCATTCCCCTCTGTTGAGCATATATCCAACTGCGATGGGTTGTTTTTTAAAGCACAACAGTTTTGCAAAGAGAAATGACATTTGCGGAGCCGGTTGTGGCTGTGAGCATCGGTTTATTTTAGCAGAGTGAATTTTTTTCAAGTCTCACACATCACTTGTTCTGATTTCAAGTTGAGTTTTTTTTTTTTTTTTTTTTTTTTGGTACACAAAATCGGGATATACTCGATGCATTCATAGAGTGAATCATTGTACAAGAATTGACATTTTAACACCAAAGAGGCAGAGTAAGGGTCCTAAATCAATAACAACTAGGATTTTTTTTTTTTTTTTTTTTTTTTTTTTGTATAATCAAGTCACTTTGAGTGGTATTCTAAAATTTTATTTAATTTTTTGATTTGTTCTAATACCAAGAAGATTTATATTGAGTATTAAGAAGGTTTGCCATCCATGATTTATATTTCCTAATAAATATTTCCTATTGGGTTGCATGTTTTATGATTGTGTTTTAAAGGAGACTGTCCTGATTTATATTTCCTAATAAATATTTCCTACACATGATTTTTTTTAAATATTTTCATATACATATTGCAAATATGCTAAAATGCTTAAGTTATCAAAAATAGGTTGGCTATCTTAATCTTTGTTCTAGTTTGTGGTATTCTCAAATCTTGTCTAGAGAATAATAGATTTTATTCATAAATTTTGCATTGAGAGATTTGTATTTTGATAATTTTATTCATTCTTTGTTTTTGAATATGTGTATATATATATATATATATATATATATATATGAATATATAGTTCCACTATTTGAGGCAACATATTATTGTGATAGAATTCATGCTTTAATTTTTGTATATTTATTTTGTAAATTAAATTATTTTTTAACTTATATATATTTTATCTCCCAAATTTTTGGCAATCAAGGTTCAAAGGATTTCAACTTGTTTGCTTAATTTGGCAGTTCATCTCCCAATAACTCATGATCCAAGAAAAGATAGTTTAAGTAAAGATAGTCAAAGATGAAAGTAACTCAAGAGTAGATGCAATGTCTTCAAACAATATAGCTTGATTTAAGAAATTGATATGTGGAGGAAATTATCAGATTTAACTCAATAATGTCTTGGATGTACAGAACCACATTTATCATGGAAAGAGGATCTTTGATACATGTCTTCCATATTAAGCATAAAAACATTTGTTGGAAGAAGAGTCTAGCTCCAAACTCAAACTTTGAGAATGATCATTTGTGGAACAATAATTATTTACAAATTGAGTCTAGGGATTTTTTTCGTAGAATCCTTGAATTTTCTCATAAAGAAAATTTGTATTCAAAGGTCATTGTCTCCCATGTTTTTCTGTCTTTTGTGTTTTCTCCTTTAATTTAAGAATCTCAAGCTTCAATTTTGTAAATTTAATTTAATCACAATTTTCCTCTATTTTCTTTTGCACCCAATACCTCATAGCCGTTCAGATAATTGAAGTTCATTCTTTATTTTCAGTTTAATTTTTTTTGTATTTGTATTGAAGGATCCTGGCCACATGTGTATTTCCAGAATTGAACAACTTTGCTGTTAGTTTCAGAAATTTACATAAATGGTGTGTTTCAAGCATCAGGCTTTTTTACCATTTTTCATATTTATCCTGGCATATCTTATTTTTTATACATATGATATAAGCAGCACTTTACAGAGGATAAAATAGAATTTATGGATCCAAATAATCAAATAACATAAATATTAGATTTAAATATATCTTGTCTATTTTCAAGTGATTTTAGACATTTTAGTATGTCAAGTTATTTTTTTGAGATAAAATTTTGCAAAATTTTAGATTTGATAGATGAACATTTAAGAACTTTAATCTTCTTGTTTAAATTTAAATAAAAATATAAAAATAAAAGATTTTGCTGATTTTCAATAAAATACAAAGAATCTTCACATTCCAATATAATAATCTATATAATCAATAATAAATTGAAAACAATTGACAGGATGAAGAGTCTAATAAGTTTCATAAGAATGTAGGCAAGATTATAACTTTTAAAATCTTTTTATGAAAGAGCATGATTTATAGAAGAAATATATATATATATATATATATATCAATAATAAAAGAAAGAACATTGTTGCTACAAAGAAGTTTAGTTTATTAATGTTTTTTATTATCACAACAAGAGTAATATCAGCAAGGTGGCAACAACTAGTACCATCATCTAAAGACCATAAGTGCTATATAAGAAAAAGATTGAAAAGTGAAAATTATTAATATTACAAATTATACCACCTTGAAACATTCATCTATTATAATTGGTCACTACAGTTATCTTTTACTTCCTCTCTTGTGATAAACAAGTATGTATATATATATATATATGTATATATATTTTTTATTTTGAAGCATTCTATTTTATTAAAAAAATTAAATTTGACATTGCATTAAAAGAATTGTCCATGATTACTCTAGATAATGCCATATAATCTTATATGTTAATCATTTTATATGCTTTTGAACAAAAACCAAAATTCAAATTTCAAAAAAAATCAAGTCAAATCACATCAAGTCCACATTATGATGACAGTTACAAATGCTGAGATTAGCTTATACTCAACTCAAAACCATTTCAAGAATAACTTTGTGAACAACAACATTCATACTAATTGTCATTACTATTAAGAATTTTTTTAACATTGCTATTGAAATTAGACTTGAAATCCGAGTAGAAAGATAAAGAATATCATCACTTGATTCCAGAAATCGCTTCTAGTTCCTTCCACATAAACGTTTCAATGTTGTTTTCACGACATGCTGAAGGCAAAACACCATTCGAAGTTGTCGAAAGAATGTGACTGTTATTTGTGACTGGATTGAGCCACACAGCAGAAGTTTATTCATATTAAACGTTGAAATCACTACAAAACCAAATCAAGCACAGAACCCCTTTCCTTTGATAATGAAGTCGAAGTCAGCACAAATCTTCTTACAAGCCCACAGATAACACTCACATTGTGTGTTTAAAATAGGCAACTGATTCTACATTGCAAAGCAACTCACCCTTCAATATTTTCCCCAAAAGCAGGGATTTTAACAAATGTTAGTGTTCAGAGCAGGAGCAAATGATGCAAGCGAGGGAGACCATGTGAAATGAGCCGCTATGATGGGCCGTCGTGACACATTTTCCTTCAGCCCTGTCACATGGTTTGGATTCTTCTTCTCAAACCTTCAGTACCGCCTCACATGATCCCCCGCTGCTCACCTTTCCTGTTAAAACTTCATCGACATCTCTCGTTCCAACACTGCACAATTGCACAAGAACCCGAAATCGGCACTTCGGCCTCTCTCATCCTTTCATCCTGTGTCCCGTCGTCTTTCACGAATATATATATATATATATATATATATATATAACGCCGTGGCGGCTTGAACATTATGATAGACTCTTGATAATCTTCCCAACAATTCTTCGTCGCCAATCCGTGAGCGTTCTTGCTTCATAAACCTACTTTGATCTAGTGTCAGATTGCGTCTTGAGATTTACGCTGAGCTAATATGTGCAAGATGTGTCGGTGTTCACAGGTTTAAGGTTGTCGATCCGGAGTCTGATCAGGCGCGATGGTATCTAGGCCCGTCTTCGCAGTGCTTCTCGCCATTGTGGTGAGAAAACGGTTTCATCGACTCGACCTCTGAAGTTTGTGTGGGTGCCTTTAAAAACCCTCATGCCTGGTTTGTTTGGACCATTCGGATGTCTGTGCAGGCGTTGGGAGGAATCGTAGCTGCCGATGCAGCGGGCCGTCCGTTGGGAGCCCACGGCGGAGACGGTAACAGCGACTTCGAAGTTAGCATCCAACGTCTGGAGATTTCGTCATCGTTGATGAGCAGCATTGCGTCTCCTCTTAACGCCGAGAGGACGAAGATGTACCTCGATCAGATGAACGACAATACGCTTGGTCAGTACAGCAAAGATTTCTGCCAGGAGGCGAGACTCCAATGCAGCGCTGAGGTTGACATGGTGGATCCTACTCTGAAAATCTCAAGCAGCGAACTTCTTAACCAAGAAGTATTCGATTGGACGCAACAGTTGGTCGAGACCACCCGCTCCATGCAGTTCAACCGCGACGACATAAACAAGGGCAATGAGATTGCGCTACCGGCTGATCTCCATGACTCCTTCCCGACAGTGGCGTTCCTTCCCCATTCTATGGCTCAGAAGATGCCCCTCTCTAGTGCCAGAATGACCCAAGTTCTGGACACGCTAAACATCCGTCATGACTCTAACATGGCCAAGATGATGTCCCAAACCGTGGACCAGTGCGAAATGCAGGAGCAGAGCAAGGGAGCCCACAAATGTGTGACATCTTTGGAAGACATGAAGAACTTCGTGAGCTCCAGTTTACCTCTAGACAAACGCATCACCACTCTACAGCGTTCCAGCTCTATTCGTGGTATGACTGTAGATCCTCTAAGAATTTGATCCACATTTTGTCGAACAGATTCGACTCACATTCAGGAGACCTTATCCACACAAGGTGACCATGTGCAGGCACCGGCGAGATGCGCTCAAAGAACATGAGATGGAAGGTGATGGACGTGAAGCGCTATGACAGCGCCGTTGTGTGCCGCAACCGCGTGTTCCCCTATGCCGTCTTCGAATGCCACGACATCAGCAACACCGACATGCACATCTACAGCGTCGAAATGCAAGGCAATGACGGGGCGCGCAGTAGCGCAGTGGTTGCATGCCATGAAAACGCAGAGCATATGTCCAAGCACACAGAGCCTGTCAAGGCTTGTCACTGGGTCACTGACTCTCTGATTTGGGTACCAGCCAACTGATTTCGGACATAGCTGCCGGAACACGGTTATCAAATACCAGAAAAGATGAAAAAGTTTCGTAAGGGATCAATATTGCCTGAACATGTATTCTCTGTTGTTGTCTAGGTTGAGGATATTTGCTTTGAATGTCGTGGTCTGATCTACCAGACATTGAGAATGTCCATTCATGGTCGTTCGTCAATGGTGGTTACTATGGGTTGGATTGCACTAGTTTTTGATTTTAATGATGAATTAGGTTGAAATTTGGGAGTAGATAAATAAACAAAACTGTTGCAGCTGCTGGTATGGAACTTTACTTCTAGAAATGTTATTAATAGTTTAATCAAAGTATTATGAAATGGCAACCAATGCATTCATGCAACTCACAAATCTTATCTTGTTATGGTCATAAATGTGCCAAAAGAGGGGAGGGAACACCTCTATCAAAGGTTTGATTATATGTTGGACAAATTCTAACTTATGATATATTTCTTGTAATATTACTTAATATTTTTTCTTCAAAAGTGGGATGCAATTTTTTTTATTAAAACAAGGCTTAATATATCTCTACAAGTTAAGAATTTATCTTTAGGAAGAAGTTTTGTAAAGATATTTGTAGCCATCTACTTTGTAAGACAATATTCTAACCCAATTTGTCTTCTCTTTATACATTGCTTGATAAAGTGATGTTTTATGTCTCAATACTTTGTACAACCATGGTGTACTAGATTCTTTGCAATAACAATAGAGTTCTTATTATCCTCATAAATAAAGTTCTTTTCTAGCTCAAAAATATCATAATTCTTTAATACTTTACAAAGCCACAAAGTTTTTTTTGTTGTAATAGCCAAAGATATATACTATATCTTTATTTATAAAATAGAAATTAATAATTATTCTTACTTAACTAAGTAATAATTGTACCATCTAGTATGAATAAATAAGAAATCACTAAATGGCACATCTTTACATAATTTGCTTTATCTATACTACTATAGCCTATAAGTTATAAACTTATTCTTTTGTTGCCATATTGCAATACCAAAATATTTTTCTTTACAAGTAACAAAATATTTGTTTAATCCCTAATTAATGCAAAATATATATGTTTTCATATATTGAATAAATTATTAATAAGCAAATACAATCTCATATCTTATACCATTTGTAAATTATAATAACATACCTAAAGCTCTTTCATAAAATTTAATATCTTATGCATCCCAAGATTTATTATTCTTATGCTTAGTAATATGATCTTGTATTTGTTAAGAATAAGAATTGAAAGAAGATATAATATTCAAGAATAAACTAAAATGGCTATTGCCAAAGACTACAAAAATAAAGATCCTTGAAACTAATATAGAAGTAAGAAAATAATTGAAAAGAGTGAAAAAGGCTTCATTCTTGCCTCTATATATACTATCTAATTAGGAGCTACTTAGTGATGTTCTATTAAATCTCCAACACATGTTTAATTTGTAAGATATATATCTTAACTTGCAAAAAAGTTTTTTATATCTACACCATATAGTTAGCTTATACCACAAGCTACCAATACGTACAATATGTAATTAACTTGTTGGCCAAGTGTTCAATCTATCAATTACCTATAAACGCATATAATTGTCAAATTAAATCTATAAAGCTTATTAGAAGCTTGTCTATAAGATATTATTAAGTTAATCTACTTACATCTACTTTTATTTATTCATATTATTTAAGTAATTATTTAAATAAATATGTATATCCATAACATTATCCTTTCTTTTAGAGTCAAGTTCTATGGAGAACAATAATTATATGTTGATAAAGTCCAAGATACAACAAATTATATTTGCCATATATTCTAATCTTTATTCCTTTCAAAGATAGTTGATAGGTCTTTCTAGTCATTGATAATGTTCTATTCTAGAGGATTAAGACTACACTCTTATTTTATTGTTATTAAAGCCTTTACAACTTCCTTCAAATAAATCATTTATAAAACCATCAAGAATTATTTCTACTTCCAATAAAATCATCAAATATTAGAAGTCTCGTCTGAGTTTGTGATATCAAATATATTATATCTTTTCATCTATTTAAAGAAAAATATGTTATTTTTGATGATCTACTTTTCTATTATATCAACTTGAAGGCTATGACAATTACAATGTCTTGTTTGATAACTCAACAAGCGATAGCTCTTAAATTGGATTTGCTAGTTGTTGATTTTTTCATCTTGTTAATACCATTAATATAAAGAAATCACAATAAAAGATAGACGATAGAATGAAATCTTCATTTAACATTGTTTTTTTTTTATAGCAAAGATTTACTTGATTCTTTATCTTCATTTTGATAGATGTTATTAATAAAAAGCTTTGATATTTTTTTTTGTATTTATAAGATTCTTTGTTGGCTTCTATGTGTATTTACTAATATTATATTTGTATCAATGAATAAGATATTTCAACCTAAGTTTGTACCATTTTGAATCTAAGACTTCTTCCACCTCAAATTCTTGATTATTATCTACTTCTATAGGAGGTAGTGGCATTTTTCTACTTTCTAGGATATTCACCACCTTATATGGCTGTCAAAGACATGAATCATAAAAAAATAAAAACAAAAGAAAAATTCAATACATTCTTGTATCATTCAAAAATAATAGTTTTTTTTCAAAATTAAAATAGTATTAAAATTGGAATGGATATTTTCAAAAAATAAAAAAATTAAGAAAGCCTTTGAATAAGACTAAAGACTAGTAAGGTGTTGATAAGAGTAAAGAAGGCTTCATTCTTACCTCCATATATATTATCTAATTAGGAGCTATGTGGTGATGTTCTATAGGATCTCTAAAATATGTCCAATTTTTAAGATACGTGTCTTACCTTGTAAGATAAGTTTTCTATATGTGTGCTAGATGGTTGGCTTGTATCATAAGCTATCAATACATATGACATGTTGCTAACTTGTTGTCGAAGTGTTCAATCTATCCATCAATTACAAACATATATAAAATTAAAGACATGTCTATGAAGTTTTTAGGAAGATTATTTACAAGATATCATGAAATTAATCTATTTAAATTTATTTCTATCTATTCATATTAATTAGATAATTATTTGAATAAATATATATGTCTATGGAATTATCTTTTCTTTTAAAGCCAAATTCTATGAAGAATAGTAATTACATGTTGATAAAAACTAAAATAGAACAAATTATATTTGTTACATACTATGATCTTTATTTCCTTTGAAGGTAATTGATAGGTTCTTTTAATTATCAATAATATTTTATTCTAAAGCATAAAAACCACACTATTATTTGATTTTTATTTAGGCCTTTATAACTTCCTTCAAATAAATCATTTCTAATAGTATTAAAAGCTATTTTTACTTCCAAAAAAATCACCAAATATTTGAAGACTCTTCTAAGGTTGTGATACCAAACACCTTGTGTATTACCATCTATTTAAAAAAAACACATTATTCTTGAAGATCTTTTTCTCTATTATGTTGTATTGAAGACTATGATAATTATAATATCTCATCTGATATATCATCAAATAATAGCTTTTGAGTTGAATCTATTGGTTATTGATTCTTGACCTATTTAGTACCACAAATACATAGAAATTATAAATAAAAATAAAAGATAGAATGTAATCTTCTTTGGATCTTATTTTTTTATAGCAAAGATTTTTTATACTTTATCTTGATTTTAATTGATGTTATTGATAAAATGCATCAATTTTTTATTTTTTTTACATTTACAAGATTTTGGCAAACTTTTATATGTATTCATTAATATCATATTTTTGCTAATAAATAATATATTCTAATTTATTTCAATATTGCCTTAAGTTTATAGCTTCTTCTACTTTAAATTCTTGATTATTATCTACTTTTATAAGAAGAGGTGGCATTTGTCTCCTTTCTAAGATATTCACTATTTTATGTGATTTAAGAAGAGATATATGGTATATGGAATGGATCTTTATAGATTTTGATAGATGTAATTAATAAGTAACTTGATTAATTTATTCATATATATAAAAAATGATCAAAGTCTATAATAATCTAACTTATCATAAGAGAAAATTATCTTGGTACTACAACAAATTAATCATATCTTATTGCCAACATGGTAGTAAAATTGTTTCTTATAATAGGCATCTTTTTAATCTTTTGTTATTCTTGAGCTTCTTTTAATTATGCCTTCATTGTTGTATGTAAATGATAACTATAAATAATAAAGAAAGATATTTTTTATGTAAAAAAATATATCATATTATTATAAGAAAAGTCTTTCAATGGCAAAAGAGTTGCTCAATTATTTTGTTGGAAGTTGATAGTACATCTCAAATATTCTTTTAAAACTTCATTTATGCACTTTTTTTGTTTACTGATTTGAGCATAAAAAGCCAAAGATAATTTTATATATACTTTTGGAATATTAAAAAAAAATTATAATTTTGACACAAATTAAATCTCTTTATTTAATATAATATCATTGACAATTTATGATAGCAATAGATATTGACAATAAAAAGTTTAATTATTTCTTTACTTATGATAGATTTTGATATGGTACAAAATGAGCCATTTTATTAAAACAATCTACTATCACAAATATAGAATCATAAGAACCTAAAACTAAAAGATTTGTAATAAAATCTATAGAAACAAAAGACCATGGTTGTTTTGCAATAGGAAATAGATAAAGAAGTCTATAAATTCAATGATGAGGAGTTTTTGATCTTAAAGAAATATCACATGATTACACAAAATCTTTAACTACATTCTTTATTTGAAGCCTTCAAAAATATGTAGATACTAGTTCCAAAGTCTTATTGTATGTGAAATTTTATGTTGTGGGAAAGTTATGATAAGCTTGGAGAATATGAAATTATATTTTATCTTCTCAAATACATAAGCATCTCTTGAAATAGAATAGATTATTTTTGAATCTGAACTTAGAAGTATGATGAGACTTTAAAGAATTATTTTTAATATCATAAATAAAAAGATCAAAGGACATATTCAATTGAATTTGCTTAAAAAAGGTTGAATTAATATTCAATATTGATTTAATTGTTCAAAGATGAAAATACTCTAATATTTGTCAATATTGATTTCATTGAAGAGAATCATTCTTTATTGATCAAAAGTTTCATCTTCTTCTTTTGATGCAAAATAAAAACATCTAAAAAGGACATTTAACAAACTTCTTTATTTCTTTGATTGGTAAATAATCTTAATAAAGACATGTTCTAATAAGCTTAATATTGATTCAAAACACGTGTTGCCATAAAATATTTAAGATTCTTATGATCTATATATATATATATATATATATATATAGATAATGGCTGGATTAAAAAAATCTTCTATATAATAATAAAATTCTTGAAATGAATCCATAATTAGAAGAAGCTTTTTGTTATAGATCTCATATTTGTTCTTTATTTTTG